AACGAGGCGAAGGTCCCGCTGCAGAAGTCATACGCAGCTGCCCTCCGGGTGTGAGGCCTTGAGGAGCTGAGCGAAGCCAGGATCTTGTAATCAGCGAGGGGTCTCGCAATGCAAATTTGCCATAGTGACAGTGCGAGTGTGCGTGCAATAGAGGGATACCATCGTACGCATCCTAGAAATCAGAGGACAGGATAATGAGGGAGGGTTATTGTGGGGAATTAGGCTGTTCATTAGCTTGAGACTTCACCACAGGGAGATCATACCTGGCCATATTTTCCAGACCTTTGCCAGGTGCATAGCAGTGGCAAAAGTTATGTGAGTCGATAGCTTAGCTTCTGTAGAAGACGTATGTCCACGATCGACGCCAAGGGGATGCATACTATGTAAAAGGCCGAGTACCATCGTCGCGAGGATCCTTGCAGCAACTTGAAGCCAGCCCCCTGCGGAGCACGAAATTTCCTTCGGCGTATTCCGAGTCCATACCAAACCCCAGAATTCCTTGCCCCTAGGCTTCGTGGTCGACCTCGCTTCCCATGGCTCGTTCCTCTGTCTTCATATGAAGATGATGCACTTGCGGCAAAGTTGTGGCACAAGGCTTGGGGCAAGCCCTGGCGCCATCGGACATCAGGAAAGGTCTCCCTCTCCGACCAGGACGTGCCGATGCCAATCGAGCCTGACGAGGACGACGACTGCGTCAGCCCCGATCACGACCACAGCACGACCTCGACTGAGTGGGAATACACTTGTTTGCATGGAATGGAATCAGTCGTGAATGCGTGCGACGGAGACCTTCGTACCGCAGAAGACGTGCTCGTAATCCGACCTGAATACGAGTGGCTCCGGGAGACGATGGAGACGGGCTATTTACGAGATTCTAAGTCGATATAGACTGTTTGTGAGAGGTGCTCAGGATTGGCGGAGGCTACCTACAGCCATCCGCTTGTTTGGCAATATCGTTGTGTTCAACCAACAGGGCGTGAAAAGCTGGGATTCGAGCGCGAGGGTGGTCATTCCGGAAGACTACTGGGCCATGGAGGATTCCAGCGACGCCGTCTTCGAGCCATGTCGGTCCTTCCGGAAATCCGCCGCACGCCTGATATTGGCCTCGTCGCCGACACCTGAAAAATGGAGAGGTTGGGTCACGCAAACGTCTGGAGCAATTGTCGTCACAGAGTTACCGCGCACGCTCGAGATAATGGCTATCCTGTATGCGGTGGTTCTTCCGATTGTACTGATATACCCTTTGACCCATTATGCATCAGGAAAGAGTTCCAGCTGCTCAAGCTCGATACGGATCAGACCAAAGGGGCTACCGACCAGGCGTATCATCTCATCAACAAGTGGGGACCATGCACTCGAAAGATCGTCGCCATCATGCACAAATACCCAGTCAGCCGCTACTTGGAGGAGCTACAATACGAGGGTTTTGCCAGAGAATCAGCGACGACTATCTGCGCTCATCCCGCCGCACTGCGTCCATTGGTCATACCACATAGCACAGGCTCCTCCATTCTCTTCCTATCCCCATATCGTCCGCGGGACCCCGTCACTGGTCGAGTGACCGCTTCCAGCCTCTCGGTTCCCCACATTCCTACACCGGCCATCAGTAATTCCCAAAAAGTCTGAACGTCTGAAGCGCCGGCGCTTAACGTATTTTTCGTCACCCATGTCGCATTCTGGACTCAATTCTTATTCTCTGCCTCTGGAAAGCTGCACGACTAATCTACGACACGTCTTTGAATGGTATGCCAAGTCACGCACCCAGAATCGCCAGCAGCGCCCGTCTGAAGCCGGAGCAAACTCACACATCTTCCAGGCCCATTCAAGCAACCCCTGACCGGAATACGGATTCCATGGCACTCGCGGAAGGCTCGGCGGAGTCGAGGGAGATCTGACGATGGGTTTGAATGGGGTTACATGAGGAACCGGGATGCTTATGAGGTATGTCCAGACGGTCTGGACCTCTGAGTGTCTGCATGGTCTGAAGGGCCCCTCTGAACGCGTCTGAACGCGTCTGAACGCGTCTGAACACGTCTGAACACGTCTGAAACGTCTGAATCAGACGTTTCAGACGTGTTCAGAGAAATCTGCTTTTACTGATGCGTTCCCCACGAAAATCTTCAACGAGCAGCGCATACAGTATACAAACAACAAGTCCTTGGAGCTCTTCAACTCGCTCTCTATACACGCTATGACGAGGCGAGCTTCAGCCTGGAACTTCGAGAAACGCGTACACGTCTACTTGTGCAACAATTTTCCGCCCCTCACCCTCTTCTCCGCGCAGGCATCGTCGTCGACTTTGCAGCCGTCGCAACAGCTGCTCGTGAGCCCCGCCAATGTCCTTCAACGATGCAGGGTGTACCCGATCTTCTACTGGCTTCCGTCAATGGACGATTTCCCTGGCATCGACAGCGTCCTTGCGGACAGAGTGAATGTCTATGCGGTGCAAGCTGCGACAGCGGACGAACGCCGCAGCCCTGCTGATGGACTGCGGAAGATGTGGGCGAAGTTCGACCGCGTGGTTCGGGAGGAGAGTGCTTGGCACGTCGTCTTCGTTGCTGACTCTGAGGAGTTGGCGCGTGAATGCGCGGATAGGTACGCGGGTGAGATGGAGGGCTTCACTCTCGGAGGGGCCGAAGTTAGGGTGAAAGTTTGGGGATGTGTCCTTCCGTCGTGCTAAGCTCCAGAAGGCACGATCGTGCGTTTCTATTAGGTGCTCGAGTGAGCAATGTATACAGGGTATGATCTAGAGTCTAGCAATCAGATCCATAAGTCCACTGACAACGAGCGATGGTACAGGACAACTGCCTTCGTCGTCCCCAACGACGAAGTCAACGCAACCTTCAAGATTCCACGGTCTGCGTACAAACGCAGTCGCATGTCCAGCATTGACAGCTGCGTGCAGTACTCTTCCAATACCCGAGCTCACCACCAGGATCTCGGACGGTTGCAGTGTCTCCTTGACGAGGGACTCGCAGAATGACTGAAATTTGGAGGTCATGAAGAACGGGTAACGGGCGACGAAATGTGCAGATATGTGCTCTGTCCACATGTGCACCGCGTTGCTGTCTGCAAATGCAGGCGGGAACAAGGGACGGAGCTGTTGCATGGTTGTCGGGGAATGGGTTGGGAGGCAAACGAGCGTGTAGCCACGCTGCTTCAGCCACGTAATAGCTGCCTCCACGTCCGGATATGGCTTTGGAGAGAGGATGCACTTCAAGGTCTCTATGAATACGGCAGAACGCACGTCGACATTGAAGCCGAGTTCCCGGGCGAGGTTGATCAGAGCAGAACGGGCACATGTCGCAAAGGAAGTCGGGGTGCCGAGGGTCTCTGCGTCACGCGCTGCGAGGGCCTCCAGTGTGAGGAACCGGTCGACGACAAGGCCCAGCGACGTGGTACTTCTGACAGGGGAGTAAGCATACCAAGGACCCAGCGCGACATTCAAGGTATCCTGTCGATCCTGTCGTGGAACGGTGCGTCAGTTCGTTCAACGACAGTGCAACTGAATGATACTCACCAAGATTGTTCCGAAGATATCGAATGCAACCACCTTCGTAGGACCAAATGGCACGACAGGGTAACTGAATGGCAAGTGCGGAAACCTCCTGGGAAGGAACTTGACCGAAGAGTCTGAACTGTCCGACCAGCCTGAGGGCGAATGGGGTTCCCCAGCCTGTTCCAGGCGCTGCGCATCCCTCTCGTCTAGCACGGCTGTGATGCGAGCGTGAGGATTGTCGAGGGCGGCCAACTCCATGGCTCGTTTACGTGAATCGTCGTCCAGACATACTTCGGTCGGCAACGTGGTTACAAGGGTATCCGGGTTCTTCATCCAGCCCCTGCGGGTGTTCTGTAGGCGGGTTTCAGCCAAAGTTCCTAGTGTCTACGGTATGCCATAGCACGTACCGCGCGCATCTCCCGGACCCACTCGATGGCAAGATCCACACCACGCCATTGGTAATCCTTGCAGAGTCTGCACATGTCAGGGCTCGTGTGGAGGACGAAGATAGTTATGCAGGGTCACTCACTGATTGTACAGCATCAGTTCGTCGTATACGTTCGATGGTCCTTCGAAAGACGGCAGCTTGGGTTCCGCGTCGAAGTCGAAGTTGAAGACGTATTTCTGTGGGTCCGGCGGTGGGCCGCCGAACATATACGCGCCAGTGTCTGGATTCTCTTTACGAGCGAACCAACCCTTTTTGACCTCCCAGATGTCATGCGGAGCAGCAAGGATTTCGCGCTGTTTCTCTTTGGCTGACTTTAAGCACCGACCAACACCATCATTAAAGGCACGGAGGCTGTCTTCGGTGAGGGTGTAATACAACTGGTCGAAAAGGGAACAACGCATTGTGTTGAGGCGTAAGGCGGGAAGGATATGAAGGTACAAGGGCCAAGAAGCCCTTTCCTCCTTGGTCGGAATGGGGGTTGTGGTCAAGATGTCAGCATCGGTGCTAACAACAGCACCTGTCTTGCTGATGATCCTCGGTCCGAGAGTGAAGGATGCGTTCTCAACAGGATAGGGAGACGGGTACGACGAGATGGCAAATAACCAAGGCGGCGACAGGTTATCTCTTTCATCGTCTGTGAAGCACGTCCGGAGTCCCCAGAACGGCTCAATTGGAAGTCTGGAAGCTGCGAGCCGACCTGACTTGGGCAGCCAGTAGGCAGACCCTGCTGGGTCGAATTTGGCAGGTAGAAGAGAATGAGACATGAACATTACGGCAGCGTCGGAGAGCACTGAGAGTAATGTAATGGTACGAGTCGATGTGGTAGAATAGCGCGTCCTACGCGGCGGCTGTCCACGTCACAGTCCAAGGTCGGTTGAACTTATTGCAGCGGAACAAAGTGCCCGCGAGTAATTCCAACAGAACGTTGTCTCTTTGCTCGAGGCTGAACATAGTTATAACATGCGATCAAGTATTTGGCCGCACTAGATTGCTGGTCCAGCTCGATAATAATGCCCTTCACATTCAAGTTAACAGTAGCCGAGAAAAAGATTCCTGCCCCGGTGAGGCTCGAACTCACGACCTTCCGATTGCGATGCATTCATGCAAGCAGGTAACAGTCGGACGCTGTAACCAACTCAGCCACGGGGCAGATGTTAGGGGGCTAACGCTAACACAGTATAGCCAGAACCTTGTTGCACCTGGGACCGTCTTTCTCGAGGGCATTTGTAGAACTTGATTTCTTCCTCCCCGACCGCGCCCGACTGAAGGAGGATGGCGAGCTTTGCGACGGACCCGGCCCACGCCGATACCACTCTTGTTTCTGACACTATCTCTGCCGACTCCACGCATGCACAGAACGGCCAAAACGGTGCAGATCACGCTGGGAACAGTACCTCGGGCGAACACGACACCGACAACGACACCCCCGGCAAGAAGAAGAAAGGAACAAAACGGAGAAAGGTCAACCATGCATGTCTCTACTGTCGCCGGAGCCATATGACCTGTGACGAGGGGCGGCCTTGTCAGCGATGGTGCGACTTTCCTAACCTCCAGCTGCTCATTGGGACACCGCCCGTGCTCATCGTCTGCTGCGCCAGTATCAAGCGCGAGATTGGCCACCTCTGTCACGACGAACGGCGAAGTACGGCCAAAGAGAAGGCGTCTACAGCCACGCCCTCAAGCTCCATTACGAATCCCCCAATCGACGTCGCACGGGCTCTCCCTGGCGAGTATACTCTCTACCACCATGTTCCCCCAACGACTCTCTAACGTTCCAGTGCCGGATGTCCTCGCGCGCAAACCTATAGCGGGACAGTATGGTTCTGCGTCCGTACCTATGACCACACCATGGCCTGGTATGGGTCTCGGCATGGCCCAGGGTGCGTGGATGTACCCCCCAGAGACTCTGAGCAACGAGTTCTCTGTCCTCTCGTGAGTATTCCATCCTGATTGTCCCACCCACTTCCATTGTATGAGCGTCACGCTCTGTCCCCGGCAGTCTTGCATCCCTGGCCATGCACGGGCCTGGTACAGACATCAAGCCGAGTTCTCCTGCGTCCTGCTGGTGAAAAAATCCCCGTGTAGCATGACGTCACTTTTCGTAAGGGCGAGCTTGCCGCAATCCCGCAACTCTTCCGGGTTTCTTGTATCAAGGCCACGCGCGCGTATGCTGCCCTCGTCCACAAACTTTCTCTCCACCCCATGCGCGCGTCTGCCCCGCTCTGCAAGTCAGATACAGCGCGTCCTCATCGTAGCACACAGGGGCCTCCGAAGGGTCATCAGATGTTGGTAAATGCAGAGTGGTTTCTCTGCGATCGTCAGTTGATCTTCTGGGCACATGGAAGTCATGCCACTTCGGGGAACACGCCGAATGTTTCTACCTGGCTTTGATGCTTTGGCCCGAACTCATGTCCCACACTGTCAAGTTTACTATACCTTCATTCCAGCGTTGTTGCATAAGCGGAGTATGCTGATACACCATGATAACAGAGATTTCCTCGAGTCCCTCGACGACGGAACGTTCTTCAGCCAGCCTCCCGCAGTCGCACCCTCATTAATGTCCAGCCCAACATATACCAACCCGGTCGCACTCGGAGTAGATAATCCCTACATCACCCAGCCTACAGGTCCGGCGAGTGCGGCACCCACAAATACAGCTGCTCCTATCCAAGCACCAGCGAGCCCAGATCGAGATCGAGACAAGCCAACAGAGGAGCCTGCGCCGGTCGTGCTGCCTGCAGCCACGAAGACGGAACGCTTCTTCCTTACGGCCGCCGACCAGGCCTCCGGCTCGCGTAATGAGCGGTTGAACATGGTCATCCGGAGTAAGTACGAGGCCGGACTACTCAAGCCGTACAACTATGTCAAGGGGTACGCGAGGTTATCACGGTGGATGGACAGGAAGTGCGTGTTCCTATAGTCGCCTGCTTGGCTCCCGGCGGCTGAATGTGCTTTCCAGTGTGTCACAGGAATCGAAACAGAAAATCCTGCAACCATTATCCGTCCTTCGCCCCAAGTTCAGAGTGAGCCTCCGGACATGTTTCAGGGACGCTTCTAACCGCACCCCCAGGCGATCGCACAGTCGGAATCTCTCACAGATATTGTACGCGCGTCATGAACGTTCATTTCGGAACTTACGCTAACGCTCTGGCGCTGCAGGATTTGGTCTTCATTGAAGAGGCTTTTGAGCGACTACTCCTGGACTATGATCGTGTTTTCTCCGCCATGGCCATCCCCGCATGTCTGTGGCGTCGCACAGGCGAGATCTACAAAGCCAATCGAGAGTTTGCAGAACTCGTCGGCGTGGATGGGTACATGCTCCGTGACGTGCGTCCTCCTTTCTGTCCAGCATTGCCCTTGGAGTAGCCGCTGAGCTACAACACGTGCAGGGGCGGTTATGCATCTATGAACTCATGGCCGAGGATTCTGCCGTGAACTACTGGGAGGTACGCCCCTTGTCATCGTTCTGCCTTCGATCATTCGGCCCGACTAGCTGACGCCTGCTCTCCCTCTTCGCGCAGAAATACGGCAATGTGGCGTTTGACTCGAACCAAAAAGCCGTCCTGACGTCGTGCGTGCTCCGGTATAAGCCGCTGCTGCCGTCGTCCGGCGCGGTCACACCGGCGCGCGTAAAGGAGACGCAGCCGTTGCCGAACGAGGAGGGCTTTATTAGCTGCTGCTTCTCGTTCACCATCCGCCGCGACCCGTATGGGATCCCCACGCTCATTGTTGGGAACTTCATCAAGTGTTAAAGGCTCTCAAGAGTCGAGCCAAACTACAACCAGGATGGAGTGCCCTCCCGACGGGCGGACCGCTCTCCAGGCCCCATAGATCTCCTGCTGTGTCTCCTCTGCCTTGTTTGTCGTGCTGAATTGTCAGGTTGCTCTCCTCCTCCACCACAGCGCTAAGTTATACGCAGCGTACGCGGATGCCCGCTGCGGCGGCGGCGGCGGGCAGCTTTAATCGGCCTCTTATACACCTCCTCTTGCTTCTGCTTCTGCTTTGCTTTCGTGTTTAGTATGTTTCCTTCTGTTGTAATACGTGGTTCTGTTGACTCTGCTGCTAGGTACGATACGTTACGAGAAGCCGGAAGATACTCAAGAATGTACATTGCTGTCTCGACTCTCTCTCTGTTCACAGACACAGACTAGAATGGAGGTCGCGCGCCCCCTTGCTGATCATTTCGCGTGATATGTCTATCTGAACGCAGCACTCCACTCCAAGTTGACGACAGCCGAGGAGATTTCGCGTCTTCTTCCTTCGGCGGCAGTGGGAAAGATGGTGGACTGCGGCTCGGAGTCGTTCCGGTGCAGTCGGGCTTGGCGTCCACCTTGCAGGTTCAAGGTCGTGGGCCTCGTTCCCATGAGAGGTGCCGGTCAATGTTCAGCGTGCCGAATGTTCCGATGCAGGAGCGGAGGTTATGTCGTCCGCTGTGCAGGACACTTCTTTCTCGACCACAATGTGGTGGTCACGGTCCTGCTAGTAGTTGCACATCTACCAAGTTATCCGCTGGTTCTCTGAGCCTCGTTTGGTTCTCATTGTGCTTCGTTGCCCTGGACGGTTGGCGTCTTGTTGTGATGTCGGGTTGTTGTTTCGCAGTTTATGCCACTTACTTGCCGGAAGGAGTTAAAGTGAGGCCCTGCCGTACAGTTCCACTTCGAATTCCGGCCTTTTCAGTCCTCCTGCAGCGGGTGCTGTGCCGCAATCAATGTCGGCGTCGAGCAGCCCGTGGCGGTTACAGTTTTGAGGCAGTACTACGCGTACGAATGTGCAGTACACCATGTATCCTCGATACGCCCACCGCAGTGCGCACTACTACATACCTGGAAATGGCACTGCGTGGAACAACGCGACCCGGGACCGAGTCGGAGCATTGACTGGGTTATGTGCGGCTTACGGCAATTTGGAATAAAGTCGTAGTAGACTGCCCCCATATAATGGTAAACGCGACCAACGCCGGCACTTGGCCTCCTACCCCGACATATACCTCGCTTGACTTGATACCTGTTTCACGACTTCCCTACGTTCACGCTCTCTACTCTACCTTTGCATGGCTATTTCATAATTGCGCACTCAGTCTTCGTCGACATCCGCAATGGCGAAGGAACACCGCCCGCGCATGCTGCACCGCGCCGCGAACCTCCTCACGACAAAGGGCGAGCCCGTGCCCGCGATTGCAGACACCATCCTCGCCTCCGACCCCGACTTGGACTACAAGCCGCTCCGGCGACGACGCACCGACGGGAGCACGGGGCTGGGAGGGTCCATACGGCGGACGCTGAGCCAGGTCAAGGATGTCGGTACGAACGTCGCGCGCCGCGCGAGCTTCAGACGCTCCCCCTCGACGCCCGCGCCCACCTCCCGCAGTGCGCCCCCCATCGCAGAGGCCGAGCAGCTGCCCCCGGAGACGACGACGTTCACGCTCTCGCCCGTGCTGTGGGTGAAGAGACGGAGGAGCCACCGCCGCGCGCAATCTGAGGTCCTGCCCACGCGGCCACGAGTCAATCACGCCCCCGCTGAGAGTGCACCAGTTGACGTCGACTCTCCGTTCCTCAACCGTTCCTCCTCCCATCTGCATCCTCGCCCACTCACCAGGATGGCGTCTTTGCCAGAGTCCCCCATCATCGAGCAGCAGCACCAGCAGCAGCAACAACAACAGCAACAGCAGGCACAGCAGCCGGCGCCGGTTGCGCAGCCCGCGTCGAGCACGGACGCCACCGTACCGCAGTTGCTCCAGCAGGGCGTGCCGATGCTCAAGGTGTCCGCGAAGAAGCAGAAGCGATATGTATTCAGACTCGATCCCGACCAAGGACAGATCATATGGGAGTCGAAGAAGCTGCGATTCAGTGAGTGATTCCCATCTGCCTCTGCCCCCCTCCCCGCGCTCATGCGTGGCGGCCAGTCCCGATCGAGAACATCAAGGAGCTCCGCGAGGGTCAGGATGCACGGTACTACCGCGAACAGTTCCAGCTCGCCCAGGAGTACGAGGACAGGTGGCTCACGATCGTCTACGTTCTCGACGGCGGGTACAAGACACTGCACCTCATCGCCGCCACGCGCGAGATCTTCCAGATGTGGGATGTCACCCTCCGCCGCCTGTACATGATCCGCCAGCAGCTCATGAGTGGGCTCGGAAGTGCCGACATGCGC